GGGCATCTTGCTTGGGCGTCTGGCCTTTCTTAGTTCTTCGTCCTTTCTAGAATGACGTTATTGGGAAATGATGTTCTTATAGCAAACAATCTGCATCATCTGGACCCAAAGAGTCACATAGGCTCAGAAAGAGCCACAGAAGATTCTAGTTGTAATTGAGAAGAGTGTCTGGGTTTCTAGCTGGCTGTGCTGCCAACTTGAAAGGTATTGAGAGACCCCTAACAACAGCTAAAATCTCCCCCAAACCAATGCCTGAAGTCGGACCACACGTGAAAGAACCGTGTTGAGCCCCATGCCTCCTGGAGATGGATTTTGGAATTGCTCTGAGTCCTTTTGCATCTCCGTCCATATCCCCTCCTTCCCTGGGCCCTTGGGGGCGTTTGATATTCTTTTATGAACCTCTGGAGGAAAAGCTTGTGTTCCCACCCTCTGAGCTCAGTGAGGACAATCCAGAATGGACTTCTTTCCAGTCTAGAAGCCCTGCTGGCTTATATCTTTTGTTAAGGGGGGATCAAAAGCTAAGAATAAACATACTATACATTTCGAGTTAGATACCTGTTACCTGCTGCTACTTTTAAGTCAATCCTGGGACCATTAAAGGAATTAATATAAGTGAGACCATTTCTAAAAATGTGAAGTGCTATGTAAATGGAAAATGTGGCTATTAACATGATTTCCTGCCAAAGATCCTACGATCCATTAAGGGGTACATCTCAAAGAGCCCAAGTGCTCAAGATTACCATGTGTGGATATGTATGTGTGTGTATCTCTGTGTGTATGCCCATGGGTGCATGTATGCATGAGTTTGGATGTGCATGTGTGCATGCATATGCACTTGTGTGTGCAGGAGGCAGGAAGGAGGTGGTAAGGGGAGGCACTCACTAGGCTAGGGGGTTTGTAGTCCAAATAGCTGGGTTCAGATCCAGCCCCAACACTTCCTAACTAAGGGACCCCCAACTGTCCTTACATGTAGCCTGGTGAGCTCTTCTTGACAGTGGGGGTGGGGAGGGTGGGTTCGTAGACCTGCAGGCAGTGTAGTTTCACAGAGGCTGAAGTGGGAGCCAGAATCCAAACTGCTGGGTGCCCTTGAGCACAGAATACCTGTCTTACAAGTAGGTATCTGCCCCACAGGGTACGAGCCTCATGGGGTTGCTCTATAGTGACTGTCCCAGGGCCACAGCTAGGATGCAGATAGGGGCTGCAGGGAGTCTGATTGGTATCTACCCCCCACTCTGACCACCTCCATAGGAAGCTGGCCAGGAAGGGACCTCCAGCCACAGCCTTTGGTGTTAAGGGAAGTGAAGGTGGGTGGCCAGAGTCCCCCTTTCAGCCCCAAGAGGGACTCAATGTGGGGGAATCACTATGGCAAGCCCTGTGAATAAGGGGGGGCAGCATTCAGTCCCAAGGGCCTGGCCTCCATGCCTGGGCTTCTCACCCCGCCCCCCACGTACTCAACAAGCACCCCTGAGACCCTGCTGATGTCAGCAACAATTTGAGGATGAAGACACAGAAGCCCAGGCCTATCCATAGGGAGGCTGGAGTCTGGGAGAGCGACAGACCCATAAACAGGTTGTCACCTGCCAGTGCAACGGCTGGTCAAAAAACACCCTGGCTCCCACATTCATCATACCAGCTCATGAAGGCCACGTGGCTGTCTGTCAATCCCAAAATGCTGTCCTCCACCCAGATGGCTGAATTTAAAGGCCTCGGACTCTTTTTAAAGGACCTGTAATTCCCCGGGGTCTGAGGTGCAGTGTCAAGGGGCGCGGGTCATCCGGCAGCTAACACGATGGGCATGAGTGCTTCTTCCCCTCCCCCAGCAGAGATTAAATCCAGGAGTCCTCATTAGCATTTTTCCAGACCACAGGAGAGACATAAGGCAAATTCATGAGGACTAACATTATTTGGGTTTAGGGATTTAGCCAACTATTTTATCAGTATATCAAGTTTTAATTAGGGGAGAAAAATCTGTAGGAAGCAATGTTGGGGTCTTGGGAGTTTCAAGGAGCAGTGGGTCCCCAGCCCTGGTCCAGACAAGGCAGAGATGTGTTGAGCTCCCCACCCCCACCGAGCAGCCGTACTTGTAAAGCTTTTAGCCCCGAGATACCCTGTCCCTTTTCATTCCTTCTCCCGAGGCCTGGCAGCGGATGGCAGAACTAATACCGTCATTTTATCGGGGAGACAACTTGAGCGAGGTAATTACAGCATCACGCGGTGTCCTAGTTTTGTTAAATTATTCTTGTGGGCAGTGGGTGGAGAAGCAGCTGGAGAGCCGGATGCTGTGGGTCCCAGGACTGGCACCAGTGGAAACGAAGATCCCACCCTGGTGGGCAAGGGGTGACGCCCCTTCCAGCCACAGACCCAGGCGGACCCAGCCAGGTGTTCTGAGCTCCTGCCCGTTGCTAAAGCCGCTTGTCCCTCTGAACACGCAGCACGTTCTGGTATCTGGTTCCACGCTGGCAAAAGGGAACTTCAGGAGGACATACCTAACAGCCTTCCGCAGAGCCTGGCCAGGAAATTGCTCCCCATTGTCACAAGCAGGAGTTAGTTTTGCGGAGTTAGGAGCTCAGGCTCCCTTCCAGCGCCTGTATTTATTGAGACCAGGTGCCCGGGGCCCTGTGCACGCCGGGGCATTGCAAACAGGGTTCTTAGGGTTTTCATGTCCGTGTGCATTTCCACAAAAGGGATCCACAGCCTTCGTCGGTTTCTCAAAGGGGCCTGTGACCCCCAAACAGTTAAGAGCCACTGACCGTAATCTTCAATCCCTGGGACACCTGGGTGGCTCAATGGCTGAGCGTCTGCCTTTGGCTCAGGTCGTGATCCCAAGGTCCGGGGAGTTCTGCATCAGGCTCCCCACAGGGAACCTGCTTCTCCCTCTGCCTGTGTCTCTGCCTCTCTCTCTCTCTGTCTCTCATGAATAAATGAAATCTTAAAAAATAAAAATAAAATAAAAGAATTTTCAATCCCTTTTGCTTCCTTACCAGACTGCTTTTAAACAATGCTCTGATTTCCCACCATAGGTACTTTCTAGCTAGCGTGGGGAAAATTATCCACACTGTTAAACAGGCCTGGCCCAATGCACCGTCTATAGGTGATGTGGTTGTACCACTTTCTTTCTTTCTTTCTTTCTTTCTTTCTTTCTTTCTTTCTTTCTTTCAGATTTTATTTATTTATTTTTTCATGAGAGACACACAGAGAGAGGCAGAGAGAGAAGCAGGGTCCCTGTGGGGAGCCTGATGCAGGACTCAATCCCAGGACCCCAGGATCACGACCTGAGCCAAAGGCAGATGCTCAACCACTGAGCCACTCAGGTGCCCCTTTCTTTCTTTAAAAAAAAAAAAAAAAGTCTTCTTAATTCCAGTTTATTTATAGACAACAAAACAAAAATTCACCTTCTGCTTAGAAGCAACATCGATTCCAGCATGTTTCAAAGGGCACAAGAAAACTTTTAGGTTATGTCTTTGACTACTCAGCCCTTACATTTCCTATGTATTATATTTTTAATCTCTCGTAGCAAATCTGAAGCTAAGTTGGGAATATTCTAAGTATTTTCCCACAGGCTTATGGAGATGCAATAGCATTGTGTGCATTTACGACGAGATAATATCGCGCCTTCCTTTTCCGCAGCCACCAATGCGAGCTGCTCTGGGTCAGAACACATGGGCCGCGTTGAGGACACCATCAGATTATTTCTCTGATGTATAGGGGAGAACGGGGGAGATTTCAGTTTTTAAACACAGTAACTTTCAAAGCTGTTTGATTTGTCTATTGCTTCTCACATGAGGAAAAAGGGAGGTAACAGTGGGCTGGCAGCTGGGCCAGTTTTCATGGGAAATTTGAAAAGAAACCTGGGCATTCTAGAACTACTTTAAATTCAGTGGCTCAAACCATTGACAAGTTTGTTATATTCCCTCCCCACACGCCGTGACTCCCTGTGATATGGCAGGGTCTAGGGTCTTGCAACCAGAAAACCCAGGCTGCTCAGGGTCTAAGGGGGCTGGTTTGGGGTGCAGAAACTGAGGACACAGCATCCCCTGAATTTGGAAGCGAGGTGCCCTAAAGAAAAGCTGGAGCCCTCAGGGAAGGAGTCTGGGGTTCTCTCTGACTTCCCATGGCCTGCCTGGGTGTTGCACCCAGGCTGGTCCCAAGACTGGGATGCCAGCATCAGGGTTCCCCCGAGAGTAGTAGACTCCCACCCTGTCCTGGCCAAGTTTACCATGTGAGCAGCTCATATCTTGTGTTCCCTGTGAATGAGGAAGGGGGAATGCTGTCGTGGTGGGGGGCATGCTTGTGGGGCTGACTGCCCAGGTGGAATCCTGACTCCTCGGCTCCTGGGCAGCTCTGGGGTATTCGTATTTAAGATGGGAATATGGGGAAAAGGAAGGCACCGACCCACCGAGCTGTTGGGAGATGGGTGACATGATGCTTAAGGACCATCAGGCCTGTGGCTGCCCCTGCAGGCCCCCAGCCAGCCTGTGCCAGGTCACACAGGCCAGGACAGATGGGCATCCCAGTCCTCAGCAGGGTACTGCCACCCTCCACGGCCTCCTAAGGACATTAGTGATGGCCTGTGGCCCCTTTGTGTGGACCTGGGGATCTTCATCGGGCAGGTACCTTGGCAGGCCTGTGATGGCCGGGACCACAGGGCCCCAGTCAGCCTTGTTTCAACCCATGAAATGAGACAATGTCCATTCCACTCCTCCGTCTCTCTGAAGTGGCCCTCCAGGCTCTGCCGTGGTCACCAGCATGGCCCAGCCATGTGCTCTGCCCTGGTGTGGGCACAGCACACAGGGGGAATAGACAGTTGGCTCTTTACCCCAAGGGCAGGTGAGCCCCAGGCCTTTCCCCAAAGGACCCCTTGCCTTCAGAGTCTCAAAAGACACATTGACTGGAGTGGGGGGGCAAGCTTGGGGTTGGATATTGGGGACAGTGGGGGTGCCCATGCCTAGCTGGCATGTCCTGTCCTGGTCATGAGAACTCACACCAAGTTTGTTTTCCAGGAACTTGGGCAAGTCCGGCCTGCGGGTCTCCTGCCTGGGGCTCGGTGAGTGTGGGGGCCCCCTTGGTCCACTGTCACCCAAGGAGGCTTAGGGAGGCGTGAGAGGAGGGGGAATTGGGGAGGGGAGTACCAGGGGCCCTGTGCACACACAGCTCCCTGCCTCACACCAGAAAAACAGAGAAGCACCCTGGCCCCAGGTGTGTCTGGAGAGCGTCTTCTCTCCTTATATGACCGAGTCCTCATAAAGGGCAGTTTGATTTTCCCCTTTTACCTGTTTCCCTGAATGTGAGCTCTGTTCCCAGAATACACTGTCCCTCCACCTCCATGGTACACTCAATATGCTCCCCACACACCCCTCAACACACACACCGCCCAGCAAGAACGAGGGCACGGCTGTCACATCTTGCCCGCTCTCAGGGAGGTATCCCTCACCTCCCTTGTGGCAGGTCAGCAGACTGCGAGCTGCAACAGCTGGAGCCGCAACAAGCATTTCAGAGACCTGCAGCCAGCTGCCTGCTCCAAGCGCCCACTGTCCCCAAGGGCGGGAGACTTGCCCCAAAAGCCAGGTGTCCACACATGCTCACCACAGAGCAGGGGGGCATGATGGCCTATGGCTGCTCCACAAGCCCTGCAGCCTGGGGACGGAGCACCCTGGGGAAAGCCTGAGCTCCTTGGAGAGGTTCTCTGACTTAAGCCCATGTGTCTCCTTCCAGGAACATGGGTGACCTTCGGAGGCCAGATCACCGATGAGGTAAGACGGGGCTCCCACAGGCCTCGGGTCCCAGTAAAGGCTGGCCACATCAGGCGCGTGGTAAAGTCCACCGCATGAACCAGCGGGCCTGTGCTCACACAGCCACCGCAGCCTCCCTCTTTCTGTTCTCCAAGGGTGCCATGGCCCTTTGGGGCAGCGGGAAGGGTGAGGTGAACCGTGGTGTTGTCAAGAGAAGCCAAATCTGGTGCCCGCACTCCACAGTTGGGTGCCTTGGGGTGTCCATAAGGTCATCTCCTCACCATCTAGTCCACCACTAGCCAGGAAAATCCAGGGAGCACATGTTTTCTTTTTCTTTTTCTTTTTTTTAAAGATTTTCTTTATTTATTCATGAGAGACACACAGAGAGAAGCAGAGACACAGGCAGAGGGAGAAGCAGGCTCCTTGTAGGGAGTCCGATGTGGGACTCGATCCCAGGACCCCGGGATCGTGACCTGAGCCAAAGGCAGACAGACGCTCAATCACTGAGCCACCCGGGTGCCCCTGGAGCCCATGTTTTCCAAATTACACAACCCAGTGTCTTTCTAAGCTGCTCCAACAGCGTACACCCCCATGGATTTGAAACTTAAGTACGTATCTGCTGAGGTCATTCAGAATGCAGATTCTGCAAATTATGCTGCAAGCTGAAGACTCTGAGTAGCTTTACATCTTACCAAGCCCCGAACCACACATTTCCCATGGCTGCTGTTCGTCTTGTGCGCTGCAATAGAATGCACTCGCCAGGGCTCCTCTCTTCACACCATGAGGCGGTGCTGCTGGCGACTGTGGTGGAGGGGCTGGTACAACCCCGGGCTAGTGTGCTCCTGGGCAGTGAGTGAATATCTCAGGACGGGGAGCAGTGGCATTCGCTCAGAGAGCTCTGGACATCTGCATGCCAAGCTGTCCTCACGTCTGCCCTACTTACTCTTGGAAAGGTTGCGTTTAAAAATTAATAAGTGAGTTCATCTGAGACCTTGTTAGCTGTGATTGCTCAGTTAGTTTTCAAAGGAAAAGCTTCGCTTCTGTCAAAATCGAAATGTATTTAATTTGTGTTTTTGTTCCTTTTTCCTTTTATGACAGTAGCTGGTTGTAGAACTACTTGCCCTTGTTCTGAGGTTCTGACTCTGGACTGTCTCAGGGTAAAGCTAGGAGTCCTTAAGTTCAGGGAATTGTTTTGCCTTTAGCTACCAGGTTGGTTGCAAGCACCTAGAATGAAGGTCAGCGCCCCCGAGTCCAGGTGGTTCACCCGAAATAAATAGTGTCTGACTCCCCTGCCTCTTTTTTGCTGGGGAGAAGAATGACTTCATTTCCAAACAGCAGTAGCTCCTTTGTGTGTGATGCCCTTGTGAGAGAGATACAGAAAAGTGCCTGGGTGATAACTGTCCAATTTAGGTGATTTTTTTTCACCAATAGATCCATTGCACCCAAAGAGTATTGATTAACGATCCAGTGGTGGCCCTGCTGGCTCTGACCTCTGCTGTGTCTCCATCATGTACATGGTGACATATATGAAGATATTAGGAGTCATTTCCAGATGACACAAGGCAGGGAGGATGGCAGATACAATACATGACAGATTCAAGGTTCCCAAAAGGTCCTGGCAGGTGAAAATGATTGAGCGAAGAAACCAGCAGAATTTTCGTATTAAATCCTACAGTTAGTATCCAAAAAAATCAATATGTCAAGTATGAGAGGCCCACCTCACCACAGTTCAGATGAAGAATAGCCACGTTTTATTCTCTAGCTGGCCACCTGCCCTGTCTGAGCCAGCAGGTTTGGCACTACAAGGAATCAAGGACCATTCCAGACTACAGAGGGACAGGTGTGCTCCCCAAAACTAGGGAGGCCGCGGGCCCACTGGGCATTCCAGATGGGTGCGCCATGCAGAAAACTGTGTTCCTTGCTAAGCCCGTGTCCAAAGGAAGATGGTTGGCCTGCCAAGGAGTCCAGAAACAGAGTCCCGTTTATAGAGTTGCCTTTTGTGCACAAGACACCAAGGTGCCACAGGAATATAGAAGTGAGGAATTGGTAGATTTAATGTGGCCAACAGGCGTTCCGCGGCAGGACTCCGCGAATGTCAGTGAGCAGTGGCCCCCAGGAGAAATCCAGCCCCCAGCCTCTTTCTCTTCTCTTTTGTTTTTGTTGTTGTTGTTGTTGTTGTTTAAAGATTTTTCTTATTTATTCATGAGAGACACACAGAGAGAGGCAGAGACATAGGCAGGGGGAGAAGCAGGCTTCCCGTGGGGAGCCCGATGCGGGACTCAATCCCAGGACCCTGGGATCACAACCTGAGCTGAAGGCAGACACTCAACCACTGAGCCACCCAGGTGCTCCTGGGGTTTTTTTTACTTTTAATTAAATATATGAAATATAAAACTTGCTACTTTCACCATTTTCATTGTGGTTAAAATATGCATAATATAAAATTTGCCACATTAACCATTTTTAAGTGTACAGTCCCATGGCGTTAAGTACATTCTCTTTGCTGTGTGACCATCACCACTGTCTATCTCCAAACATTTTCATCACTCCAAACAAGATTCTGTGACCATGAGGGAATAACTCCCCAGCTCCCTGGTAACATCTGTTCTACTGTTTGTCTATGAATTCCACAAACCATTTTTTTTTTATAAATAAACTTTTATTGGCAGGCAGCCACGCCCATTCATTTACATACTGTCTGTAGCTGCTTTCACATTACAAGTTGCCAAGGGACCATCTGGCCCGCAAAAACTAACGTGTGTGCTCCCTGTTGGGGCCACAGCAGGTGTCCACAAATGCCTGTGGGGCTGTGGCCCTGAGGAGGGTGTCCTTGGGGGCCGGGCAGAGCAGAGCCAGCCCACAGAGGAAGCAGACAGTGCTAGCAAACCTCTTGATCACATGGCCAACCGTTGGAACTGCCCTGGTCAGAGTCAGGTCTCCAGCCACAGTCCTTTCTGTGACCTCACATGGCTGCTCAAGTAAAGAACTCCCCCCCAGAGCAGCCTGGTGTTAAATATCTAATAAGGGTAGAGGCTACAGACGTTTCATTTATTACGGCACTCAGCCCCCTATCAACCCAAGGAGGTAAATGTTATTACCCCATTTGGAGGAAGCAGAGCCCCAGAGGTGGAGCAGGTGCCCAGGGTCTACCTGGAGAATCATACCAGAGAATGGCAGCAGGGCTCCTGCCTCAGAGCCCACCATGGCCAGCTCCCAACTCCAGGGGGGTGGGATGGATTCCCTTGCCCCCCAAGAAGGAAGGGCAGGGAGGAGGCCCACATGTCTCCCAAAATTAATCCTGCCTTTGGTTTTGGGAACATTGATGTTGGAAATATCCAAACAGTCACAAAATAGAGGCTCCCCACAAAGTAGGGCGCACCCACAGAGCACAAGTCTTTAGGGGTCATGTTTTAAATAACACGGGGACAGGTCCAGGAGCGAGCGTGTGGGAAACAGTGCCGACAGTGGTCTGTGTGTTAGAACTGCAGTCTGGCAGGGAAGAAGCATATATTCATATAGAAAAACCTGGAAGAAGAGGCGCCTGGGGGGCTCAGTCAATTAAGTTTCCAACTCCTGATATCGGCTCAGGTCCTGAGATCAGAACTTGCATCAGGCTCCATGCTCAGTGGGGAGTCTGCCTAAGATTCTGTCTCCGCCTCCTTCTGCCTCTCCTCCCCTCCCCACTCATGCACGCACACACCCTCACTCCCCCCAGCTCTAAAATAAATAAATCTTTAAGGAAAAACCTGGAAAAAGTTTTTTTAAAAAATAAGGAAAAACCTGGGAGACCAATTATGCCAAAATCCTAGCAAAGAAAAAAATATAAAGCACAGCCCTGAGAATTCCCACCCCTCACTCTCTTTCTCAGACCCTGTGTCTTTCTGCTAGGCAACAGGGGAAGTGGGGGTGGGTGCCTCTGTGTCAGCAGCTGTGATCTTCCCCACTTGCAGGCCTTGCAGGGTTGGCCATGGCTGCCGAGGGAGCCACGAGGGAGGCCTCCCTGGGGCAGGAAGGGAGGAGGTGGGGAGGCTAGTCTGGAGGCCACCGGAGCCAGCCAAGGACAGTGTCTACTCAGCTCACACCTGCTGAGTATCAGATCCCTGCCATAGGCTGCTGTCTTTCTGGAGAGGGGGACAGACAGTAAGCACATCTTATCTCCAAGGGCTAGACATGTCCTGTGGCTGCATTAAAAAACCACCACCATCTATGTGGTTTTAGAACTAGATAAATTTCTTTTCTCATGGCTCTGGAGGCCAGAAGTCTAAAATCATGATCACAGGGGCAGCCCCGGTGGCGCAGCGGTTTGGCGCCGCCTGCAGCCCAGGGCATGATCCTGGAGACCCTGGATCGAGTCCCACATCAGGATCTCTGTATGATGCCTGCTTCTCCCTCTGCCTGTGTCTCTGCCTCTCTCTCTCTCCGACTCTATGAATAAATAAATAAAATATTTAAAAATAAATAAATAAAAATAAATAAATAAAATCATGATCACAGAGCCGAAATCAGGGCATCAGCAGGGTCACACTCACCGTGGCGCCTCTGGGGAGTAGAGTGGGACTCTCCCGCACCTCCTCTAGCTTCTGGTGGCCACTTCATTCATGTCTGCCTCTGTGGTCACATTCTTGCTCCTGTTAGACCTCCCTCTGCTCCCTCCTATGAGGATACCTATGGCGCCATGCAGGGCCCACCTGATAATCCTATCTCAAGACCTTTTTTTTTTTTTTAAGATTTTTATTTATTCATGAGAGACACAGAGAGAGAGAGGCAGAGACACAGGCAGAGGGAGAAGCAGGCTCCATGCAGGGAGCCCGATGCGGGACTCGATCCCGGATCCTGGGATCACGCCCTCAGATGAAAAGCAGATGCTCAACTGCTGAGCCACTCAGGCATCCCCTATCTCAAGACCTTTGATGTCATCATGTTATGAAGACCCTTCTTCTCCCCAAGGGACTGTTATTTAATCAAACACAGAACAAGAGCACAGAGAAAGGTGGACTGGGATGTGGGCTCACGTTTTATGCTTTTAATCGGGGAAAGTGGAAGCAAGAGTGAGCCATGTGATGATTCAGAGGGAGAGCATTCCAGGCCAAGGGAACGGGGCTAGACCTAGCCTCCAGGAGGCCACAGGAGGTGCCCCAGGTTGTAATATGTCAGACGTGAGGGAGCAGATCTCTGTGGGGACTCTGGCTCTGACAGTCTGTGACAGAAGCCACAGAGGAAATTTGACCTGACTTTACTCAGAAGGCTCACTCTGGCTGTTCCACTGAGAGAGCCAGTCTCCCAAGGACAGGGAATGCTTCTCAAACTGTAAAGTATGCATGAGTCCCCTGGAAATCCAGTTAAAATGTAGGTTCTGATGCGCAAGGCCGGGAGCAGAACCCGGGATTCCACATGTCTGATGCTGATGGTCTATGGACCACACTTTGCCCCACTTTGTAGGGCACTGGGGGCAAGGACAGAAGCAGAGTTAGGGGCTACCACAAAAACCCAGCTGAGGGCATTCTGTCTGGGACCAGGTAGAGGCGGGCAGGAGGGTCCGATTCTGAATCAGCTTCAAGGAGGAGCTAGCAGAACTGGCTGAAGGTACTGATGCCACAGTAAGAGAAAGATGAGTAAAGGAGGATGCCCCGGTGTTGGATCTGAGCATAGGACGGGTGAGACCCGGCACACGGCCCACCCCCACACACACCAGCCTCTCCCTGCAACACCCCACCCCCACCCCATGCTTCCCCTTCCTGCCTGACAAACTCCTAACCACCCTTCAAACCCAGCCCTGGAAATGCTCACACACATCACAACATGGATAAACCCTAACGGCATTGTGTTAAATTCATCAAGTCAGCCAGTCACAGAAAGACAAATACTGTAGAACTCCATTCGTATGTAGTAACTAGGGGAATCAGGATTCTGGAAACGGAGAACAGATGGGTGGGCGCCAGGAGCTGAGGGAGGGAGGAATGGAAAGTTGGTGTTTGATGGGAATTGAATTTCTGTTTGGAAAGATGTAGAAGATCTGGAAACAGGTGCTGGTGATGGCCACACAACAATGTGAATGTACTTAATGCCACAGCATCCTATGCCTAAAGTGGGCAATTTTATGTTACCCGTATTTTACCACAATTTTAAAATTATTTTAAATAATTTGTTTTAAAAGAATAAAGATGATCTTTCCATAAACCAATACGGGTTGATTTCTAAGCTCAGAAGAATACCTGTAGCATGCTGTTCTCCAGGTAAGCAAGATAGGAGTATAAGAAGATATACAGGGACTGAAACATGAAAATAAAAGCCCTGATTCTGAGTCACCCAATCAGAACCCTCTCCAGAGGCAGCAGGCCCCCCTACATTGTCTGCATAACCTGGCTGGGGCCCAGCACGAGGTCCTCTTCTGGGTAGAGCTCGGGCAGCTTGGCAGGACTCATCCCTGAAAAGTCAGGTTGAAGACAGAGGTGAGCCAGTGAAGGAGCTTAGTGTATACCTGGAGCATTGGAGAGGAAGAAAGGAGCCCCAGGAGGAAGAGAGATGCAAGGGAGGAGGAAGAGGCCCCCCGGGAGGGTGCATGGATGCATCTGACACATGATTACACTTGAGCTCCAGTGGAGCCAATCAGCCCTGCAGGTGGATCCAGAAAATCCTCCACCAATGGCCTTTCCACCCACCCTGGGCTTTCTGACTCAATTGACAGCAATTAACAAATGGGGGTTCGCTTTGGCCTGCTCAGTATCAGAAATATTTGGGGTTCATTGCCAACATTTGAAAATTAGGAGATTTTTACTGCCCCCAAATACCCTGGATCTCTGGCTTCTCTCAAAAAATCAAAAGAGGGATGCTGGGGTGACTCAGCTGGTTAAGGGTTTGCCTTTAGCTCAGGTCATGATCTCAGGGTTCTGGGATCAAGCCCCATGTCGGGACTCCCTGCTCAGTGGAGGGGTGGGGTCTGTTTCTCCCCCTCCCTCGGGCCCCCCACCCCATGCTCTCTCACTCACTCTCTCTCTCAAATATATAAATCTTTAAAAAAGAAAATTCAAAACATGTAGCCTTCCCACAGGCAATGATTGAGTGTTGGTTCCCCACCCCAGTGGACCCCACTGGACACCAGCCTCATTCTCCATGTCTGCCTGGCCCATGGGGCTTCTGAGTTTGGTATTGAGAGAATCTCCAGGAAGCCGAACATGGCTGGCTTTTCGTCCCACAGTGTTTGAGGGTTGTTAACTATTACTCACCCCACCCTGGGTAGCTGGGGAGGGAGGCTTGGCACTCTGAGCTGAGCTTTAAGAAGTGAGGGGCGGAGGAGTTTGCATCTGTGACTCTTAAAGGGACACCTGCACGGTCCGGAGGACCAGCATTCTCTGCTGCATTTTGGAGAGGTCATTAATTACAGGGGGGCTTCCCCAGCTCAAGCTTGGTGAGCTTGATCCTCACCCCCGCTACCAGAGGGTCATTGCTGGTGGAGCGCAAGCTCACCCTTAGAGCAGCCTGAGGAGCAAAATCTGGTCAAAGGCGTGTGCAGATTGGGCACCATTCATCAACTCCTGCCTGCCAGGCAGTGGAGGAGCGCCAGCCGGGGCCGGAGTGCTAGCTGAGGATGGCAGTTTCTCCATCTGCAAACAATAATCGTATCCTCCTCGAGTGGTTGCTGGGAAGGATCTGGGGGGGCCTACAGCCACAGCACACATTCCAGCCATAGCTTTAAAAAAGTATTCATTCTGCCAAGATCTGTCACACTCCTCTTGGGGGCTTGTTCCAACCCAGTATAGGTGCTAAGCTTTGTGATGACCCAACAGATGGGGTCCCTGCTCGCATGAAACGCACAGCCCACTTTGTTTTCTTTCCTCCCTGTGGGTATGCTCCTGAGAGCAGCTCCATGCCTGTCCTGTGGCAGAGAGGATGAGGGGAGCCTCGGGGTGCATGGGATTATGCCCTGGAGCCTCCAGGCACCCCCTCTGGCCTGGCAAGCAGCTCTGGTTTTCTCATTTCAGATGGCAGAGCAACTAATGACCTTGGCCTATGACAATGGCATCAACCTCTTCGATACTGCAGAAGTCTACGCGGCGGGCAAGTACGTGTCTTTTCTCACGGGGAGGATGCAGTGCAGGCCACGGCTTCCCTGGGAAGAGCCAGAGCTGCTAGTCCTCCCATCCTGGGTCCCAGGTGTCCACAAATGTGCCTCCCACTCTGCCTGCTTTTTCAGATTCTAAATGGCTTTAGAAGGTGCTGTTTTTATGAGGCCAAAACTGCAGAACACTTGGACACCGGCCACTTGCTAAACTCCCCGTGTGTCCACGATGACCACAGTCCCTCTGGTGCCGAAGATGCTGTGCTGGGCCAAACCCTGATCAAGCTGTGGTCCCAGGCTCTCCTGGACCAGCCCCACATGTCTGACAGTCTCATGTCCTCACGGTGCAGTGAGGGCTGCAGGGAACGCAGGGCCTCTCGAGCTGCGGAGAGCAGAGTCTGGCCAGCCGAGCGCTGTAGGAAGCACTTCCCATCTTGGCAGTGAACTTCCCTACTCAATTATGTAAAAGCCCTCTTCAGCCAAGGCTGCTGGCTTCAATTTTAAAGACTAGCTGTAATCAAATCATCCACTCTCCTGCATCGGGTTTCCAAAAGTCAGCTTTTGTTTGTGAAGTCATCTGCTGGCTCTCTGTTCATCCTCCCTCCGGCCCCCCTGCCTGGGGCGAGCCAAGTTCCCATCAGCTGGGTTGGCTGCAGCCTGGCTGGCAGGGGCACATGGCCACAGGGCCAGCATCTGCCTGGAAGCCTCTGGGTCATTACCTGAGGCCCAGAGCACTGAGGATCGGGAGCCCAGCTGGGTCTTTTCTCAAGTCCCAACTCAGGATTTGAGGACCTGACAGCCCTGGGGGCCTCCTTGGGATCCCCAAATCTTCTCCAGCCCCTTTTGGCAGCCCTTTGCCCCTCCTGATGTACAGCTCCCTCCCTACCCCTCCATATTGGCAGCTTCTTCCCATCAAAGTGAAATGCTTTCCAGACAGATGAACTAAAAGCCAGAGGGTCAGAGGTAGAAAAGCCCAATGCAAATGCCAGGCTCAGGCCAGCCCCTCACTGGCCTCAGCAGCCCAGCCCATTCCCTGGCCCTGCTTGTGCCTCAGTTTTGCTGCCCATTTGAGAGCATGCAGGAGGCAGCTCCAGACCATCCCTTCTGGCTCCAAACATACGGGCCCCGCACACTCTGCTCCATAGCAGCCATAGCCTCGCCATCCCTGTCTTCACTTCCCCCTGGTTAGCTAGATACCAGCGCTGGCATATCAAGGCAAGCACACCGGGTACTAGGCAGCCTTGGGGCCTCATGGAGGCCCCTTACCAGCAGCCAAGGACTCAGGGAGTGGCTTCCTGTGGGTCATTGCCCCTGGAGCCCCCTGCCTTCATCCTGCCCTCCGCTCCTCCACCGGCCTCTGTGGCTCCGTCTCAGTCCAGCCCAGAGCTGGACATGCCTGCTCACCCCCTCATCCATGGCTCAGTGCCAGCAGTAACCCCCAGGGGAAGCCAGGCACCATGTACCAAGGGACAGGCAGGGAGCAGCTCTGGCCCGGGGGCTGCCAGGCAGCTCCAGTGGCCAGTGGGCCAGGCTCTGTGCCTCTTGCTATCCAGAGCACCAAGTGCATATTTTGCTGAGTCCTCTGCTGCTTATGCTGATGCTAATCTGGGCACTTAGCAGAGAGCTGCAGGATTTCTGTGCACCCCACCACCACCCCCCTTGGCAGATGTCAGGCTTACCAAATTCAGGGCCACAGGAATTCATAGCCTCAAGCAACAGGCTTTGGGTAGCTGATTGTCTGTAGCTCCTATCACCCCAGGACCCCTGCTTGCTTTTCTCCCTTCCTCCTTATCCCGATCTTTTGTCCCATAAATGAGGGACCAAGGCAATAAAAGGAGGAGGCCCAGGGCTGAGTGAATTTCTGTACATCTTGACCATAAATGAAGAGCATTCAGAATGTATGCTGAACAGCTTGCAAATTAGAGCCCATTATTTCTGAGTGGATGACTCAGGCGCTTTTATAATTGGAATGTAGCACTGGGTATGGATCATTCGCCGTCTGTTGTTTTTGCTCAGAAACATTTTGCTACAAGCAGAAAGTTCTTAAAAGTTAATCCAGTGCTGCGGTGCCAAGCAAGGCGGGAGCAGCCCACCCATGACCCCGGCTAGCCCGAGTTTGGTGCAGGGCCAGAGTGACGCCAAAAAGAACAGAGAGCAGTCAGCATGGCATCTGTCTCTCTATTGTTCAAGAGCAAGAAACAAGAGACACGCATGTAGCCACACACATACACGCACACACACACCCGTGCAGTCTGCTGGAAATCCAGCCCCTGGCCCTGCATACATGTTGATTGTCTCTGAAAAGAGAGGATGCACTTGATGAATAACTTAGCTTTCAAAAAATACACCTCTATGGAAACGTCGCCCACATAACATGGGAAATGGGGTGGTGCTGGCCTCGTCAAACAGGACATCGGCTCCTTCCATCTCTGTGAGAGCCGGAGCCACTTCTGCTAAGACAGGCGCCCACAGGGTCACCTCCTTCAGTCACCTGCATGGGGAATGATGGCTGCTGGTGGGCTGTCTCCTCTTTCTGGAATGAGCTGCCCAAGCCAAGATGAGCATTGTTAACAGCCCAGTGCTCTGGCCCCAGTGGCATTTTCACAGAGGGAACCAAGTGGCAGATTGTCATGGCAGGGCGAGGTTTAATGTCTCTGTCACGCTGTAATGAAATCCCTGTGTGTCGGTCTTTCTTGCAGGGCCGAAGTGGTGTTAGGGAACATCATCAAGAAGAAGGGATGGAGGTAATTACCGTGTTCTCTCTGGGTCGGCGTCCAGGGTGCACGCAGGGAAAAGCCTGCAGAAGGCCGGTCGGAGGGTCAGAGGCACCGCCAGGGTCAGGCGTCCGCTGGGTTCTGGGCACATGCTGGTGTGGGTCCTGTTGCTGTTCCTACCTGCTTAGAAGTGGAGCTTGCTCAGATCTGGCCTCTTTGGCCCTCAGGCAGCTGGCCAGCCCTTCTACAGCCTGGAAGCCTCAGACTTTTTCTCACCGGCAAGGGGAAGAATATTCTAGAATGGAGGCAGCCCCATGCTCCCTCCAGGGAGACGAAGTATTCACACTGTGGGGGGCTGTGCAGAGGTGGGAAGCTTCTGCTGAGTCACCAAGTGGGGTGCCAAACTCAGCTCTCCAAGACAAGAGGCATCTCTGCTGGAGAGGGAAGTCAAGTGGAGGTCCTTGTGGGGCTCCCCCTACATCATGCTCTGCCTGCTTCGCCCTGACATCCACCTCTGGTCCTGCAGGGATTCGGAGGGCCAGGGTCCTGGGTTGCAGCCTGACTTGCATTAGGCCAAAACAATCTGGACGTGAAGACTTCCCGGGTGGCCTGGTTGTAAAGCTGAGTGTAGAGCCACTGAGGAGAGGGACAGTCCTTCTCTGGGCTTGGAATCCACCCATCCTCACGGTCCCTGCCTGTCAAGGGACCACTGTCTGACTCCCTGGTAGGTTGAGGGCCTGAGTCTATAGAACACCTGCTGGGCTCAGGGCTGGGCATCACGCTCACCAGGGAGTGGCAGCCAATGGTCAAGACAATGGTCTTCACCATAGCCACCCACCAAGTCTCCCCCTACCCCCAAGCAGCTCAGAAGCCTGAGGCCCCTTGTCACACAGGGTTCCCACCCTCCTTGGGACAGACCAGGCCAGGCACTTGACTACACTTTGGGACCCCTTGGGGCTCACATGTCTTTATTTTCAGAGGAAGCATTGTTAAAGCTGGGCCCACCCACCCCTGCTCAGAAAGTGCCACTCAGAGGCCACTGGGCACAGATGACTGACACCTCTCTTCTGATCCCAACAAAGTTGTTTGTTTCTCCTCGGCTCTAGTTCATCACAAAACAAACTCCCCCTCACTCTGTAATTCAAGGAAATTGCACATATTACTGAGGGCCCTGATTATGTCATAGAAGAATACAGGGGGAGGTACATATTAAGTCACCCCCCGGGACATGAAGCTCCTGGGGTACACAGCTTCTGGCTCTGAGGAGCCGTTTCCTGAGCGCCGCCACCCCTCCATGGGAGGAAGGCACTCCCACAGAGGACATTCTCCATCAGATGTGGAGGGGCCACCATCACCTCACCATCCCGCCAGCACCAGACAGGCCAGTGCTTGCCTCTCCTGGGTTTGCAGCAGGAGACCTGAATCCATTCCTCTCCCTTTGGGGTCTCCATCACCCAAACCCCAACTCCCTCACACCCAGGATCCTGCCTCACCCAACTGTCCCTCCCTCAGGGCCACCCGGCTCTCCCAGGGCTAAAAGCCTGTAGGACTGCTGGGCCCCCTCGCCTCTTTCCATCCTCACTGAAGCTCCTCCATGTGCTGCAGCCCTGACTCTCGACCTCCCAGGAGCGTCCTCCTGCACCTGCTTCCTCCCTGACAAAACCCACGGGAGCAGGGACAGCGGCTTCCATTCCCCAGGCCAAGTCTACCTAATATCTCCTGCCCTGGGCTCCAGTACACTAGACCTCATCCTCTCCCAGCCCCCACTGCCTGACTTGGGATGACACAGTGAGTTGGTCACATCTGTGGCTTGTCTCCTGACTCTATGGGGAACCCCAGGACCCTGGACTTGCACACCACCAACATGGAACAATCGAGAAGTACCCATTTCACATCCCCATGCTCCCAAATGGGAAGGGATTCAGGACCCTCTGTGAAAGCTGAAGACCAGCCCCCCTCCAAGCCACGTCCAGTCACACCCCTTCTCTTCTGTTCTGCAGACGGTCCAGCCTGGTCATCACCACCAAGATCTTCTGGGGAGGAAAGTAAGTGCCCTGGCAGGCGATGCTCCCCAGCGGGGCCAGGTCCAGAAGCCGAAACCCCTGATTTGGGAGGCTCCTGGAGGGGGGCTGGGGGAGTTGTGTGCAGCCATCTGCCCTGGCTGGTGCCCATCCCTGTTGACATCACGTTCCAGAAAAGCAGCTTTGGCTGAGTGTCCTTTTACTCAAACTTTGGTTGATTTTTATTTTTACTTCTGTGGGTCTGTGATTTTTTTTCTGATTACAAAGATAACATTCTAGAAACTCTAGAAAACACAGGAAATTCATGAACTGTCTGCAGCACTCCACCCCCCCTGGCCATCCCTGCCAGTTTCTAGGGGTCCAGCCCCACATTCTCTCCAAGGCTGGAAAAACCAGCTTCATAGGAATTGTAAAAATGATTCGTTCTTAATTAAAAAAAAAAAAAATCCAAGGGAAACAGAAGAACAAACTGAAATGCAGACCCCACCACCACCACCACCCTCCTCCCCCAGGACAGCCAGGCAGCAGCGACCCTCCTCCCAGCCTGCATGAGCATATCCCCATAGCCTTGTGGTTTATCCCAAGTGGAATCAGACTGCACGTGACATGCACTGACCTATTTTTTTTTTTTTTTTTTTTTTGCCTAACATCGAATCATAAACATTTTCCCCCAAAACCGCTTACAACATCACACACACTGTCATCCTGTTTTTCAGAGCGGAGACCGAGAGGGGCCTTTCCAGGAAGCACATAATAGAAGGTGAGGGGGGCGCTTTGGCCCCACATGGCCCCCCAAACCCACAGCATCCTCCTGCAGATGCATAAGTGAAGAAGGCCAAGGTCTCCCACCCCACCGCCGATGCACGTGGGGCCTAAGCCTACAGACACCCCATGCTCTGGTCCCACCCTCTCCCTCCACCCAGGCTCTGAGGCATGAGAGCAGGGCCCCTGGCACCCTCAGATGGGCAGCGTTGTCTCGGGGAAGACAGGACAGGCCTGGGCTGCAACCCTGTGCCGACTGGTGATCCTGAGAGGGGACATACCACCTCCCCAAGCCCCTGTGGCCACATCTGTAAAATGGGTGTGGGAAGAGTGTCCACCTCGGGGGCTTGGGGGAACCGGGAAGAACCCCGGGGTGGAGGATGCATGTCAGACACAGCGGGGGGATCCTCACACAGGAATGGAGAGAGAGGAGGGAGGTCGAGTAGGTGGTCTGGTTTATCCCACGATTGCATTGTCTTCCTGCTTTTTCCATCTTTGCTCATTGTCATCAAGGTAATACAATCGCTCCTCTATTTTTTTTTAAGATTTTATTTATTCATGAGAGACACACAGAGAGAGGCAAACACAGAGGGAGAAGCAGGCTCCCTGTGGGGAGCCCGATGTGGGACTCGATCCCGGAACCCGGGATCACCCCCTGAGCCAAAGGGAGACGCTCAACTGCTGAGCCACCCAGGTGCCCCTACACTCGCTCCTTTAAAAATCCAATGAGAAAGGGGCTCTGGTCCCCAGATGCTCACACCGGGCCCCAGCACTTGGCTCAGCAACTCTGCTCTGATCCATTGCTGTGTGACTTGTGCCTTTGGCGCAGGGACGTGGATGCAGCCCCCCATCACCTCAGGGCCACCAGGGGGCCTAGGAAGTCACCCCTCCATTCAGTCACAGAGCATTGGGCCTAGAGAACCGACCACCACCCACTTGGGGGTGTGCCCACGTCAGTCCTCCCTTCACCTCGGGTGGCCTGTGCCCGCATGTGTCCCACACCGCCCCACAGCTCCCGGCACCACGGGCCTCGTGTCTCTCTCTCCTCTTGCTCCCTGAGCCCCCTGTGCCCGGGAAGGTCTGTGAAGATGCTGACGGCCCCTTCTGACTCCTCCCCGCAGGTCTCAAGGCCTCCCTGGAGCGGCTGCAGCTGGAGTATGTGGACGTGGTGTTTGCCAACCGCCCGGACCCCAACACGCCCATGGAAGGTAGGTTGTCTCTGGCTGCTGCCACCACCGGGACCCTGTGGGGACACCCGGGCCACAGGGCACCGGCGGGTGGTAGGAGCGGGGGTGGGGCGGGCTCTGACGGCCCGCAGCACCCACAGGTGCGCCCCAACACCTCCAGGCTGACCGCCCCCCACCCCTGCCCGGTTCCACGCCTGCCCTCCTGGGTCTGGAACTGTGTGGAATGTTCTCTCCTCTCAGCTGTTAATATTTTGTAGTTACATGAAGTCACTATACGATGGCTCTTTGCAACTGCTGTGTTCCTTTCAATCACATTCCCGCCCTGCGTTCTGAGGGGAGGTTTCAGGGGCCTTTTGCTCTGGGGGATAAACGGTTACTTAGAGGAGAAAAAACAACGCGTGGGGCTTTGGAAAGCAGTTTTTGGTTTCTTTGGCGCTTATTTATTCTCCCCTTCCCTGCGATCTCTGCCCCCACCCCCACCCCCCTCTCCAACTGCCCGCCCCAGACTTCTCATTTGTGCTTTGCTGCTTCAGGGATTTGGAAAATTAAGTTGTGTTCAAGTTATTTTTTTCTTCATTTGTCTATATATATGTGTGTATATATATATGCATATACATATATATCTACACCATGCACACGTGTGTGTATATATATATGTGTATGCGGTGTGTGTGGTTGGATTGGTGTTTTTTGTTGCTTTTGGTTTTTTGGGTTTTTTTTAACCGAACAAGTATTCTGTGAAGGAGATTTGTGCCTCAACCCCCATGCCCTGTGTCATACCGTGCCTCTCCGTGTTCCCACAGCTATAAACTCTGGTCTCTTTAAATCTTTCTTTATCACCAGGGGACCCATTTAGTTCCTCCAAGTCAAGGACATTCATCATAGAAGGTACACAGTACCCTTAGCCCGACAATTGACTTCTGTGTCCAAGCTGCATTTTATGAGACGGTGGTTTTATTTACACCACTCTCTTTCCCCCAAGACAAACTTCTCCATAAAATGCATAAAGGAAAAATAAGTGCCCTATGAGAACATATTGCAAGTGAAGGAAAAAGCCAAGCGGTGTGGAGCCCCCACCCGCACCCCCCTGCCTGGCCCGTGCTGTCATTTCATCCTTCCCCCCCACCCCCACCCCCTGTGCATGACCCACGCCCCCCTCCCCTGCCTGGCACTGCGGTGGTTATCCTCGGGGCCGGCTGTCTGTCTGCCAGGGCTCCTCTTGATCTGCGGATGCTGCCATCAGCGCCTGAAACCTTGACCCTGGATGGTCTGGGAGAGGGTTGGGGAGATCAGGGACCCCAGAACACGTGGCTTCCAACAAGTGTTAGCTTGATAGGTCACATTTGCTAAGCTCCTGCCTCAGGCAGAAGCAACACACACAGGTGGGCAAGCTGCCCACTCACAGCATGCTGGCTCTACCGTGAACATCGGGGCTGTGTGTGGGGTGCTCATGTTCCCTGGACAGGACCGGCCACCTGCCACTCTCATCCCGTGCTGTGCAGCCTCGGCTCTGCCCACCCCTAAGCTAAGGGCCTCCCCAGGACCCCACACCCAGGCCAGGCCATGGCCTCCCTGGGAGCTAGGCTGTGACCCACAATGGAAGGGCTCCTGTCTGCCAACTGGCACTGCCACCTGACCCCTCCCATGTATTATTTGTGACCAGGGGATAGGTACTGTGGGTTCTGGCAGCAGCTATAAGGATTTGGTCCTGCTTCTGTTCCACAGCATTAAATATTGAGGTGGAGGACAGTTTCCCTAATTATCCTTGTGTCTAGGGCCACTGACATGGGCTGGGGCAGAAGCACAGAGCGCTGTGTGTGGGCTGCACACCCAGCCAGCCACTGCCTGGAACCCCTTCTCTCTCAGGCCAGCTGCAGGCTCTTGTGAGCTCGTGCCCCGGTGGCCTCCCCTCCCTGCATGGAAGGGGCGGTGTAGTGCATCATGCCCTGGCCCTCATTTCCCCGGTGAGGAGAGGCAGCCAGGCTGGCGAACGGGGGTGTCCTCCACTTCCCTCTCTGGCATGTGGGCCTAAGCCTTGGCTGAAAAGAATCAGTGGTTATGCTGCATGGTCACGGGGGGGTGGGGGGTGGGGGCTGAGAGTGTTTCTGAAGAACGTGATGAGGACAGCTAGCCGGAAGCCTGAGCTTGGGCTTGGGTGTGGGCAGATCTCTTCCTGGGACCCTCGACCCTTCCCACAGGGGTGGTTCTCCTTCGCATTGAGTGGTGTTGGCAGTCCAACCTGGCCAGAGGTCCGAGCCAGGGTTCCAGCTTCCCCGCCAGCCCCCCTCCCGAGGACGGGCACAAAGGAGCCTAGTCCCTGATCTTGGAAGGAAGGAGAGGGCAGGATTGGCCTGCAGGCCTGGAAGCCCAGGCGTGGTTTTGCAGGGGTCCTAGGCGAACCCACTGAAAGGGGATCTTGGCCAAAGGAGCACTCAAGGAACCTAGGATGGGTGACCCCCCCCCCAAAACAGAGGTGCTGCCCTCTGTGGGAGAAAGTGCCGGAGGGCCTGTGCCTTCCTAGGGGAAGCTTTGGGAACAAGGCCTGCCTTCTCCTTTCTTCCTCTCCCACCCGCTGCCGGTCTTCCAGGACCCCAGCCCCCCACCCCATCTCAGCAGCAGATGAGGAGCAAGCCACCTGGGAATAGATGGGACTTCCAGGGGTCAAGGTTGCTGCTTCGTTTTTAGAGACACCTGTTCTTCGGCCCTACTTCCTGCCCTGGCTTTGGCAGTGGGACTTGCAAGCACTGTATGGGATCAGGGAGGCATCTGAGGGGGTAGCCCTTCTGCCCACAAAGCTAAGAGACGTTTGAGATTTTTAAATTTGAGACCAAGTCTGTTTTCAAAAACCACAACATCCCCGTGGACTGAAGCAGCCCAGCATGGGAGCAGTAGGAAGACTGTGACTGGCGGATTTTTATTTCTCCAAAATTTTTTTTTGAGTCCTGGGAAGAATTTGTGATGCAGCCGGGGTGAGGGTCCCCTGCCTGCCACTGGGTTGGTTTGAGAATCCAGGGCAGATACAACAAACAGGGCTTTCTGTGTCTACTTCTGGCTCTTGGAGGATGCGAGGTGAGCGCCATGCTATAGCCCCTGCCTCTGGGAGCATCCAAGGTGCCCCCACCAACCCTTTATCCTGGAAGATGCCCTATGACCGCTCTGTTCAATGCTCTAGATCGATGCAGGAAACTAAAACAGGCAACAACTTGTGTTTACACAGTTGCCTTTTGCCAATCTGATTCTTCCCCAAACTAGAGAGTCCACCCCATTTAGGAGTCTAAAACCATGTTCTCTGATCTCACCTTTTTCCCCCCTCCTTTCTCCAATCTGCCACAGAAAGGCCGCAGTCCATCTAGTACCCATTTTTCAAAGAGCCCATAGGACTTGTTACTCTTTGGGGAGGTTATTTTCAAGACCAGCTTCTTGGCTCGTGGTTCACTTTTTCCTATGGTCCCTGAAAGCCCTTGCCACACCCGACTTTGGAGAGGAAGTACACTGCTTGCAAGACATCTTCGCAGCTCCCCCCTCCTCCCGGTGCCCCACCTGTATTTGCAGAATATTCCCAGGTTGGGCCCCAGGCCCCCCGGTCACCACACCCCCGACCTGCAGTTTCTGCTTCTCTCCTCACAGAGACCGTGCGTGCCATGACCCACGTCATTAACCAGGGGATGGCCATGTACTGGGGCACGTCGCGCTGGAGCTCCATGGAAATCATGGTAGGGTGACCTCACCGAATATGTGTGTCCTGGGGCGTAGTTTCCCTAAACCCTTCTAAAAATGAACACCTGGACTCTGGCAGATTTGGTGCCCCTGGCCCCAGTGGCACAGATAACTAGGCACTAAGCCAGGGACAATATGGTGATATGTGGCAGCTACATCTGTAGGCGAGGCTTTTAACTTTGAATCCCAGCACTGTGTGGCCCTGGGCAAATGGCTTAACCTCTCTGAGTCTTGGTTTCCCCACCTGTGGAACAAAACTGCTAGGATGACATAGCCCCCCCCACCAGGAAGTTGTTCTGAGGACTATCTGGGAGAACAGGTATGAAGCTCTTAGCAGAGGAGCTCAGCTTGTGCTCAGCAACAGTAACAGTGCAAGCCACTTGCACCGAGCTTTTGTGACCCTCCAGTTGCCCTTAGATTTGAGGGCTCCTGTGGACCAACGCCCATTTAATTCTCACAACACCCTACAAGGTGAGTGTTGCTGTCGTCCTGTTTTTCAGATATGGATGTTGAGGCACAAAGAGGTTAAGTAACACACCTAAGGTCACACAGCTCATACTGAGGTCCATCCCCAAGCTGTACAGAACGTGAGCCGCTGCCAGGAGCCCGGCTTCCATCTCATAGTCTGTGATGTTTCCCCTCACCCTCACTTTCGGGGAAGCAGCCCCTCCTTTGTCACTTCCCTCCAGGAAGTCATAGAGACAGAGGGCTGCAGGTGTTTCTCCATATTTCTGTGTGTCCCACAAGAGTCAGCAGGGTGGCGCTGTGCTCAGAGGCAGGCAACTGGGAGCCCAGGGGGTTGGAGAGCAGAGGCCTGGGGACCAGGTCTTCCCAGGACTGTCTCCAAGGCTGACCTGCCACCCCTGCTTCCAAGCCTCCCCCCAGAATTCCCCACACCCTGGTGTCCTTGGGAGGGGGTTTCTCCTCTAATGAGTCCTGGATTTCTGCTTCATCAAAAAAAATCAAGCAGAATTTTCAAGTCCAACACAATTCTGGAAGCCTGTGATTTTAATCAGCCTTTGGCATTTGCAGCATTAATGAGCATTTGGCATTTTTCTTAGGCTGCCTGGAGCCAGCACAGGGCTCACTGAGGTGTCAGTGTCTTATCCCCATTTTACAGATGCAGTAGCTGAGTCTCACACCAAAGGAGAAAGGGCCTCTTGGGCTGGCAGGCAGGGCTTCCCCAGGAGTCCGTCTGGAGACACCGGCCCTGGCTCACACCCATGTGGTGGGAGTGGAGGGAGAGTCTGCAGAGTCCAGGCCTTGAGTTCCAATTCCCAGAAATGGGCTGATGCCAGCCACTCTCCCCTCCTGACCTTGCATTTCCTACCACTGCCACCATCCTCCCAGGGCTGGAGCCCTGGAATAATGGTCATGATAAAAACAGGGCCTGCACTGTCCTGAAGGCTGTGAACAGCGCTGGCTCACTGATCCTCACGACAGATGGAGATACTGAGGCAGAGAGGGACAAGCTCCTTCCCCAAGGCACCCCAGCCAACAAGTGCCCAAACCCAAGGCTCGCTACTGGGTTGTGCATTCCCCGATGCCTTCAGCTGTAGAGCATCCCCCCTTTGCCGGCAGAGGTGGGGGGGGGGAGAGAAGGTGCACCAGCTGTTTCCTGTCTCCTGCCCCCTCCTGCGCGGGCAGCCCCGAGACCCCTGACCGACAGGGACCATCCACGGCCCTGTGTGCATCCGTAGGAGGCCTACTCCGTGGCCCGGCAGTTCAACCTCATCCCGCCCATCTGCGAGCAGGCCGAGTACCACATGTTCCAGCGGGAGAAGGTGGAGGTACAGCTGCCCGAGCTCTTCCACAAGATAGGTGGGCGGCCCCGCCCCTCCCTCGCCGTGGCCCCGCCCCTCCCTCGCCGTGGCCCCGCCCCTCGGCCCGGCCCGCCGTGGCCCCGCCCCTCCGTGCTTGCCCCGCCGCCGGCCCGGCCCGCCTCCTCCCCTTGCTCCGCCCCCTCGGCCCTCCCACCCTCGGGCCCCTGGGCCTGACCTCGCCCCGCTTTCCTCCCCCAGGAGTGGGCGCCATGACCTGGTCCCCCCTGGCCTGCGGCATCGTTTCCGGGAAGTACGACAGTGGCATCCCGCCCTACTCCAGAGCCTCCTTGAAGGTGACTGAGCGGCCAGGCCGGGGAGGGTATGGCCGGCCACGGGCATTTCGCACTGAGGGGGCTGCGGGGGCGGACCCAGGGCGTGGGAACCTGGAGCCCTGCTGACCAGATCCCACCTCTGGAAGGGCCGCCGCGGGGAGAAGGCCCTTCCCCTCCCTCGCCACCCCCCGCCCCCCATTCAACCTTCACAACCCGGTGGGGTCCACCGACTCTTCGGGTCGGCCCCTGCCGCGAGGTAGCCCCTCCACCTTCCGCGGCCCATCACTGAGACCTCCGGGCTGGAGGCCGCAGGGCTGCTTCATTTGTTGATCGGGGGAGGTCTCCTGGGACAAGACAAGACCCCACGCACAGACACACCTCTGGAGGATCCCAAAATGCAGGGCTTGAAGGATGAGGAGCAGCCAGAGAAAGGCCTGCCCAGGTCGGGGCAAATCCCGCACCGGAGCCCCCGGCCTCGGGTTCAAGGGCAGGATGGCCTGTCCACCCACTCCTGCCCCAGCCACAGCAAAGTCGGGGAGTCCCCTGGAAAGTGTTGCAATCCTATGGGTGGGGGCAGGTGAAACCACAGCTCCCCCAGACCTTTGGGCCAAAGGCCAAAGCATTCCTCACCAGGCTGCCAGGCTCCTTGCCTGGCTCAGGGGCCCCACAGGCTTGCGCTTTCAGACTAGACAGGCCCCATGCTTCTGACTGCCCGGGCCTGTTCTGCAGCAGGACACGGTTAGGCAGGGGGGCAGATGCTGCTTTGGCACAAGCCATCAGCCATCTGCATCCAGAGGTCCAGGTGCCCTGCCCTCACCTGTAGGCTGTGCTCTTCACCCTCCACAACCAGGGTTACCAGTGGCTGAAGGACAAAATCCTAAGTGAGGAGGGCCGGCGCCAGCAGGCCAAGCTGAAGGAGCTGCAGGCCATCGCCGAGCGTCTGGGCTGCACACTCCCCCAGCTAGCCATAGGTAACAGGACCTGGGGTGAGGGTGGGGGTGGAGGGGGAAGGATTGAGTACTGGCCCTGGGGCCATGTCAGGAGTCCTTGAGTGCCTGGGCCACTGCCTCCCTTAGCCAGTAGGTAATAGGGCCCCTAAATTCATGGGGAAACAAGGGTGGGGGGTCGTCCCTGAGCACTTGGGCCACCTCTCCTGGACGCTGTTGGTACCAGGCCTCTCCCAGAGCCCTCTGCAGCCCCATCCCCGGCAAATCCCCCACCCAGCATGCCGAGCGGCAGGCTTGCCAGGGACCTTCTGGGCACCCTCAGCCCCATTGCCCACAGGCTGGGTCCCCGGGCCCAGTTAGGGACAGGGAAGAACCAGGAAGGGCCCCTGCCCTGGGTGTGTCTCCCTCACCTCTGGTTCTACTGCCCCAGCCTGGTGCCTGAGGAATGAGGGAGTGAGCTCTGTGCTCCTGGGTGCTTCCAGCGCAGACCAGCTAATGGAGAACATTGGAGCAATACAGGTGAGTTGGGGGGTGGGGGGGGCTGTGCATGTGTCACCCCCAAGCCCTTGAACCGAACTCAAGGTCCTAGTCAGTCATTCGTCCAGCCCATGTTGTTGGGCACCTACAATGTGCCGGGCACTATTGTAAGTGTCCGGGCTACATCAACGAGCCACCAAAAGCTGTGCTCTGGAAGAGCAGACAGTGAGCTCTGAATGCAAGAAATGAGGAAATTGGAATATGAAGGTGATAAGCACCAGAGCAAGGGCAGGGGAGTTGGTGGGTGCAGAAGGGAGGTGGTGCCGTGGTCCAGGCTGAAGGGGGTCAGGGGGTAGGCTTGCTGAAAAAATGACATGTAAGCAAAGGCTCCAAGGGTGAGGAGTGGGACCTGCAAACCCCTGGAGGAACCGCCAGGAGCAAAGGAGGCGCCAGTGGGCGTGGCCTGGAGCAGAGGGGCGGGGCAGGGGAAGGGGGGACTGTGCCCAGGGTTCTAGGGACTTCTTTGGTTGTTGGGTGAGCAGGAGCCCCCCCCCCCAAGAGCAGAGGAGGGCCTGATCCCTCTCCCCCTAGCTGCTGAGTGGAGCAAAGCCTTTAGGGAACAGGAGGAGGGCACCGAGAGATCTGCAGGAAGTGACAGCAGGCCCCCTTGGAGAGGGCTGGATCCTGGATGTTCAGGACTGTGAGGCCAATGGGATGGGGACCAGGGTGAGCACAGGAAGAGGCCGCCCACAGGCTTGCGTTACCTGCAAGGGTGGCCTTGCTGTTGGTTGAAGTATGGAAGGCTAGGAAAAGTAGTTTGGGGGTGAAGGTATCAGGGTTCTGGCCCTGGAACCTGTATTTTATGCCTTCTAGACTGTTCTAGAGCATTCTGGAGCTTGAGACGCAGAGATAAACCCAGGCAGGCTTCCTCTCTGCCCCAGAACTTGTGGAACACAGAAGCAGCCTAGTGCCCACCTGCTTGGGCGAGAGTCTGATGCGATGAGGCAGGCCAGGCCAGCAGTGGCCCAAAGACTGTCACCCAGCCTCCTCCACAGGCCGGGCCAGTCTCGCGGGTGGGATTCTGATTAGCTCCTGTCCTCGCACGCAGGTCCTTCCGAAACTGTCGTCTTCCATTATCCACGAGATTGATAGTATTTTGGGCAATAAACCCTACAGCAAAAAGGACTACAGATCCTAAGAAGCCCCCGGCCGCTTGCCCGGACAGTTTCTCTTTCCCTCCTAGTCTCTCTGTTCGCTCGCTTAAGCCGTTTTGAAGCCAAGTCAGGGGTGTGGTTTGCATCAAACAGAAAACATCACGGCAAGATGTCCTCCTCGTGGGGAAAAGATCTCAAAAGTTGCTGCAAGACACCATTCACTGCTTCGCGGGACCGAATTCAGATCCGTGCCGGGGAGGCCGCGTTGATGGGGCAGGATGTTGGAGTGGTCCCGCCCGAGCCCGCCTACAGCCTCTACTCCCCCTCCAAGAAGAAAGCACCCCAGTTGCTCCCAGCCTCCGCCTTTCCCAGAGATGCCTCCAGGCCGGGCCTGTGTCCTGGGGGGGCAGCAGGGCTGGCCTCTCATCTGCTGAGAACCCCCACTTGGTGTTGGGGGTGGGAAAGAGGAAACCAGGGCTGGCCCTTCCTGTGGCCCCCTCTGCTGGAGCACTGGATGTTGGGCAGGGCCTCCCCAGTGGGGTCCCCCTCCACTTCCCTCTTGTCAAGGGCTCCCAGGATTTTACAATGGGCCTGACCTCAGATTCATTCTGCGCCTTCTTCAGCACCACCATCTGCCCCAGCGGGTCTCTCTGGGGCCTTCCGTGCTGTCCCTTGACCCCCACCTCCACCCTTACTGGCAGGGGCAGAGATCCAGGGGGATTCACTATCAGTTTGGGGCCCACAGGAATTTTGGGGGTCTGAGTTCATCACCCTGCCAGCTGCCTCCCTGCACACAGTTGATGAGCCCCGTGCCCAGAGCAGCCCCAAGCCCACGGGAGGGGTCTGAGGAGCTGGCTCCAGCCCAGGTCCCTCCAGGGCCCCACTGTCCTCCTTGCCAGGGGCTCTGTCCTTACCCCAGAAGGCCTTGAGGTCGTGCATCCGTAGCTAGACACTGGGTTTGACCACATGCAGGGCAGCCCACTCTGCTCTGCCTGGGTTGTGGCCCTCAGGGATCCAGAGAGGCCACCCTTAGGCCCTTTCAGTGAGGGTGGGTCCCTAGGGCTTTGTGTGCTGCATGCCCAGGGGCTAGGGGGCCTGAACATCTAGCAGTGGCCTCCACAATCAAGGAAAAGACCCCAGGAGCCTCTCCTTGGAGCAGTGCCTTCTTCAAGGCCTCAGATCAGGTTGGGGCAAGGCACCCCATGGTAGAGTGCCAAGTCAGGGTGCCCGGAGCTTGTCCCCCAGGCAGACAGGCAACAGTACCACCCCCGGCTCTCTGCACACACCCTGTGAAGAGGCCAGGATGGCTGGACTTAGGCATTCCCTCCCGGCCTGGAACAGATTGAGGAAGGACACACAGAACTGTCAGCCCCCGCCCCAGAAACATGGGGGAGGAGCCTATAGCCGGGAGTCCCGGCCCCCGGGGTCCTGAGGTATGGGCCTCTGCTGGCGGTGGGGGCGGGAGCCAGGAGCCCACTCTGAAGGACGCCTACGTGCCTCCAGTCCAGGTGGTCTGGGCGGACAGCGCTGGCCACCCCCACCTGATGCACCCCCACCCCCATCCCCACCCTCACTGCAGCAGGCAAGCCCATCCTGCTTCGCCCTTCAAAGAAGCTGCTGTTGGAGGGGCTCCTCCCTGCCATTCCCTGAGGGCCTGCTGGCCAGTGCTGCCTGGGCCGAGGCCTGAGGCAGGGAGGCAGACAATTTCCATTCCTGACATTTGTGCTGACCCTGGAGTCTAGAACCTTCCCCTTTCCTCCCACACCAGGCCCCTGGGCATCATCTCCACCAAATCCACAAGCTGCAGGTTCCAGGGGTGGGGAGGAAGTGAGCCTACCCCAGCAGGGCCCCTCCACTCCAGCTGTGGCCACCCCCCACCACCACTCGGGCCAGGCAGCCCCAGCTGAACAGAGGGACCAGACGGCCCACCCTCCACTGGGGAGAGTGATAGCTGGCAGGGGTGGGGGTGCTCACACTGCTGCCCCTAGCTTGCCCACTGCCGAGAGATAGAGCAGGGCTGGCAGTGGGGCCCCCTCACCAGGAGCCGCAGCTGGGAAGGCCAGGCCCCTGTTGCCCACATGTTGGCCAAACAGGAGACAAGGGCCCTCAAAGCTGAGCTGGGCCGAGGCCGAAATGCCTGTCGCCGGGACCCAAGCAGCTTCCCAGCCTGGGGTGCCGTCCACAGTCTGGGCCCAAGGTGTCCTAGTTTTTCCACAGCCGCTAGCAGGGAGGACAGGGCTCAGCCTCCTGGGGGAGCACCCCAGGACTTAGAAGGGGGCTGGTGTGGGGGGAGGGGGTCAGGTGGGCCCAAGGGCAGCCGGAGTCTGGAAATAGGAGGCAAGCCCTGGAGGAGCGGCCATGCCCCAGCGCGGGTCAAGGGCCAGCTGGCCTGACGCCCCCTGGTCGAGAGCAGGCCCTCGGAGCCCCAGCGGCCGCCCTCCAGCCTCTGGTCCTCCGGTCGAGGCAGAGTGTGCTCCTGGGGAGCCCTCTGGGTGTGCCCAACACAGGACAGAGGCCTGGGCTGGGGGCTGCGGGCCTGGGTGGGCTCGGTCTCCCTTGCAGACGCTCGGAGCCCCCACCATCTCTCATCCCAAATCCAGTGCGAATCCGAGGTCCCGAGGAATGACAGAGGGGCTCACTCTGTCTTCTGTCCCCTTCCCGTCGTGTAAATAATGCGCTTTTCTTCTCTCCCCTTTTTTTTAACGACCGTGGCTCCTCAGCTAACTGCTCTCCCTACCATAGGCAGAGACTGCCTTCCGCCCCGCGCTCCCAGGACACCCAGCCGAGATTCAGCCACCGTATTTATGGAATGATAAATAAAACCCCAGCCTGTCGGGGGTCTGCGGCTCTCTGCTCCTCTCATTTCCAGGGGTCCAGCTGCTAGCAGTAGGGAGGCAAGGAAAAAGCTGGGCTCCCCGCCCAACCCCGGAATCCTGACCCTGGGGCAAAGGGTAGGGTTGAGAAGAAGGGTCCTGGGGAGAGGCTGGGACTAGAGACTGAGGCCCCCTCAGCCCAAGTAATTTGGGGACAAGCTGTGTTGCTGGGAGGCTGCTGTGCTCTCTGGGTACAGAGACCAGGGCCCAGGGAGGCAGGGGCTCCCCTCCACTGGGAGCTCAGTGTTTCCCTGACACCATGTTGTGTTGGCGTTTAGAGGTGCAGGGGGGAGAGTCAGGCACCATCCCTTTCCCAGCCAGCCCCCTCTGCCTCACAAGGCCCTGCTTCTCCGGTGGGAGGTGGCTTTGGGGGATACTCCATCCCCACACCCCAACCCCACCCCACCCCCGTCCTAGATGAGTGAGAATCTAGGAAAACACTTTGATTGAATCCTTTCCCAAAGGATTTATTAAAACACAGAAAACCAAGACACACACACAGAGTACAAAGTTAAGGGGATTGTGTCGGCTGCAGTCCCTGTCCGGCCTCCCATGTGTCCTGCCAGGGACCGGACGGGTCGCCACTCACGGGGCTCAGCTTCCAGCTCCAGCCCCCTGGCCGGGACCCTCCCAACTCACCCCAAAGCCCCTGGCCCCTTTGTTGGCCTGGAGCTGTACCCAGGGCCAGGGGCCCGGCCCCCTTGGCTGGGCCAGATGCCAACCTGGGTGGGGGTCTGCTCCCCCACACCCCCACGCTCTAACGCACAGAGGGCAGGACCCTTGCCTCATCTCCGGCACACAGGAGCTCCCATCTCCATGTCAGGGGTTCAGGACATACACACATACCCAACGGGCCCTTTCTGGGTTATCGCACCTAAAAAAATACTTTGTTTAAAAAAAATCTGAAAACTAAGAAAAAAACCCAAAACACAAAGCCAATGACTTTGGGCTGATGCACCACAACCTGTAAACTTCCAGAAATAGAAAATGGGGCAGGAGCCTGCTTCCTCAACAGAGACGGGTGGGCACAGGACAAGCCGCAGGCTCAGGGCAGGGTGGGGAGGGACCTGAGGCCAGGCCAAGACCTCATCCCCGCCTTGCAACCAAGCCCTGGGGGCACTCCTGTCCTCAAGCCCACCCTCTACATGACCCTCGCAGGCCCTCAAGAGCTCTGAGACCCGACGTTTGGGAGCAAGAGCTACAGTGTCACTGCGGCAAGACTCGACCAGCCACAGTCTGGGCCGGGGAGGCCCCAGAGGACCCTGGAAAGGGACCCCCGAAGAGCAGGAGGGCAGGCACCTAGACCAGTCATGGGGACCAGCAGGACCATGGTCATAACTTCCAGAAAGCAAAGGAGCTCCCGAAGCTGGCTTGCAGGGAGGGTCTCCTCACAAGGAATGCACTTTCGGGGGCAGGTGTGTGCAAGGGTGGGGGCGCCCTCCAGACCCGGTCAGGCAGCCCAAGCTCCCCCTGTCACCTGGGAGCCTGGAGGGAAATGCTTTCCGAAACTGTGGCCCAAAGATGGTTGGATAGAAAGCCTACTCAGTACTGGTTTAAATAATAGGGTGGCTGGAAACAAAAATGCGGGCGGGTGCTCTAGGATTCTGCTTGTACGCAAAGCCCCTCCTTCTGCCAGCAGCAAAAACCAAACCCAGCCGGGAGATGCCAAAGACAGCGGACGCCCTGCTCCCCGCCACCACTTGTAGCAGGAGATAACTGATGATAAAACTAAGAAAACAGTCCAAGATCCATTTCCTCTCCCAAACCAGCCAGTCGGAAACCCACTCTCCAACTGCCTGAAGTACCCCCCCTCCCAGGCTTCCAGGTGCAGATCGTGGAGAACTGAGCTTTTCTTAGACCTGGTCATTGTGGGTACCCAGCTCCGGCCCAGTAAAGGAGGGCGAGGGGAGGCCTGGCATGGAAGCAAGGATCGGGGGACAGAAGGAGGCTTCCTGGGAGGAAGGGCTGACAACAGGGGGACTGTTGGCCCTCGGGGCAAGAGAGTGGAGATGTAGACCCCTGCCCTACGATGTGCCTCCTGGCTGGACACTTAAGACCCATCCTCTGTGGCCAGGAGAGGCAAGACTGCCCAGTGAGGTCTGGGAGAGTATGTCACAGGGCTCTGGGTTAGGGCAGGTGGGGGGGGGGTGCTCATGTGGTCACCTCGCCTGTGGCCTGAGCCAGGAGCCTTTGCAGGGAGGCACTGACCAGAGGACACAGGCACGCGCAGGACCTGCAGGAACCGAGTGGACTGGAGGTGACCCTGCCCTTCCCAGGGGGCAATGTCCCAGAAACCAGCATGCCACCTTCAGGATACTTGCCCCTGTGCTCACCACGGTGCCAGAGCAGAGTCAGCCTTGGAGGTGCTGATTGAGACCAAAGCGAGGGGACACCAAGATGGAGCAGCTTTGGGATCTAGCCCTCAAGGGGTTCACAGAGAGCCATTTACAGAGGACACCTGGGACCCCATGAGGGCTGGCCGGTTGCCCAAGAGCTCCCAAGACAGGGCCCCACACCTTGGCCCATCCTGGATTCTACAGCCGGGGCACTTCCCCAGGAAGCCCCATGCCCAAGGCTGAGAAAACCCTTCCAGGCTGAGCCAAGGCCGAGGAGGCATCAAACACAGCCCCTGGGCCTGGCCCACTCCTCCCCACCAGCTGGGGCCACACAGGAGCCCACTGGCTGAGTGCAGGAGGGATGCCAGTGGCTGTTCCCCACAGGA